TTATATTAATAGGCACCATGTATTATTGTCAAAGTGCAATGAAGAAAGTGTTTTTAAAAATAAACTACCCAGGTCCCAGAGGCTAGTTCAAGTTCATCAAATTTAACCAAGAGTAATTTATCTTATTCAGAATAATGTTGTGATCGATGATAGACGCCAGACAATATAGTGTATAATATACAAATATACAATAACACACAAAATACAAAATTAAATTCATAAAATGAACTAGGTAGGTAAATAAAAGTATTTTCCATAATAATGCCAATATCAAAATAGGCGCCTATTTTCCACAGCAGACTATGAGAGTTAAGAAAAAATTTGAAATTCCGGACTTTTACAACCCAGATATCTACTGTACATGTTTTAAATTTCAGATCTTAATATTTCAGGTTTTTAAGCGCTCACTTTAATTGCTGTAATCCAGCATTATTCTAATAAATAAATACAGAAATAATTCTGCAGATAAATACTCAGCTCGGCTCTCTGTATTATCTACATATATAATACGGAATATTAATTATTAGATTTTGAGCGGAGCGATGAATATATTGGTTTCACAATTACCTATGTGTTTTTATTAAATTAATTTTTTTTTGTAGGAAAAATGCTTAGTTCTTCAACTTTGAGGAGGTTTCTGGTAGCAAAGTGGATCTTATTGTTCATCATACTTTGGAAGAGGATGGGATGGGTCAAAAATAGAAATGTATGAATACTTTTCAAAATAATCAGACTTAAATTATGTTATTAGATAAATGTAATCAGGTACAAAGAAACGAAATTTTTTTATTTTAAATCAGTTTCGACCAAATAATTTTGTTTTTGTTTAGTAATTCAAAAGCGAATACTGCAGTGTTATATAACTAGAAACTTTCACCAAATGTTTGTATACTTATGCATATAATGATTTTCAATAAAATATTTTGACTGTTTTTGTTAGTTATATAGATATTTTTAATTATTTTAGTTTTTATTTGACTTATGAACTATGATATATTAACATACATTTTTATAAAGACTTGAAATTCAAATTTTGACGAAATTCGTTTGGATGCTTTATTAATGTCTTCTTTAATTTCTATTTTAGTTGTATTAGTTGTTGGAATGCACAAGGATGTTATAAATATAAAAGATTTGAAACAAATGTATAAATTTCAATTCCTTTTTCCACTTCTGAGCAAAATGTGTCAATGATTATGTGCAATGATCGAAGTGGGGGGGGGGATACGGAGGGATGACATCCCTGTACTTTTTTGTATTTACATTTTTCATCCCTCTACTTATTTTGTCTAGAATAACGCATTCCTCCTAAGACTTGTGTTTTAAAATGAAATAATTATTATGATTTTTATATTTATATCTATGTATAAGAAAACTTTTTATTTTTCGTATAGGCCTAAATCTGAATTGTAAAGCATCCTTCCACTTATCTTGAGCCATTTCGACAACTGATTATGTGTAAGCTTAAATTTTATACGCACGTATCAGTTATCACTGAATACAATAAAGTATTATTCAAACTGTAGGGATATTTTTTTTATGTTCTTATTTCTTTGTCTCGGTATAAAGAATTCATTTTTGGACTGAATTTAATAATTTTATTTTCAAAAACTGTACTGGTATTTCTTATACTCAAAATGCAAATTTTTACTTAAATCGATTAATACTTTACTGTTACAAAAACAGATTTAAATTGCACAATTTTTGCGTTTAGAAAATTTTTCACACCTCATAAAATTAAATCTCATTATTTTAATGCTTTTACTTGGTACTGTAAAAACATTTCAACATTACATTATTACGAAGATTTTTAACATACTTATTTACTCATTGTAATATTGTATATTGTTATCATCACAAATTGTACAAATATCAACATTGAAAAATTATATGGATGTTTACTAACCGGCAATAACAATATAATTTGTTGATTTTTGACAACAAAAAAAACCTATGATAAAATAGTTCATAACATTTTTCCAAACTACAAAATACTATAATATCAACGTTGTATACGTTTATTTTAATCTTTAATCAAATATTTCTAAAGCTAATTTAAATTTGGCAGCTCCCGGTTCTTGCTCGTTCCTTAAATACGGCTTACAAATTGATTTGCTCTGCAGAAACATACTAATAATTATTAATTATATGTTTGAGCTTCCATAATTTTTTCGAGTTTAATGTTTGTACAATTGCAGTTCATGCCTATTCAATATTAATGTATGTTTGGTTTTTAAACTTAAGAGACTTAAGTGTGAGCCAAAATTTATTTAAAACAAATAAAATGTTGGGACAGCTGCGATCTGCAACTACTGCACATAGTACCCGCCAATTCGACATTTCCAAAAACACGAACAAAACAGAAACTCTATTTGATTTTATTTAAGTATTTAACCCTAGCAGACACGAATATAATTTATTGTCGAACATTGTTTGTAGGTAGTTGGTACTTACTTCTCACCTAGTATATAATATATAATATGATATATTTTATTTATTTACACTGAATCGTTTCCAAATTTGTTGCGGACTTTGTGGAAAAACATATCACACGTTGCTGTTTTGCAGGATTTCTAAAACTAAACGTACCTAATTTACATTACATTTATCAGTTTTTACGTGAAAATCTAGTCAGATTGTTTGCATAAAATATACACAGTTGCAGTCAGGGTGTAATATATATATATATACATATACATATAATGCCTAGTGTCCATCTATGTTTTATACCTACCTAATACCTATACACCTTTGCCAGTATCATCACGCGTAAACACGCATACGGATTCACTGAAAGATACTTACTAGTTACTTCTGTAGCCTGTAAGTACTAGTATCCAACAACTAAAAATTGAAATACCTATACGAAAAAAATAATCAAAATTTCCCTCGTTTGTTGTCGATGTACTTATTGCGAACGATCCTCCACGGCGAGGGGTACGTTTTCTCGTAGGACGCGACAGTGCAACACTCGTTACAGTTCAAGGACTAAGGAGTTCAAGGTGTCACTCCTACCGTGAGGGGGGGGGGGGATCGACGTGGGGTGACCCGAATTCTATCGAACTACCGAAGCGTGATCATAATATTAGATAATATTATGTTATACATGTCACGATGTATGAATTCAGGCATATAGTATCGTCAGATTGACTCACTAACTATAAAGATTGGTCAACTATTTCCTGTAAGATTTATAACTCCATACCTGCATCGCGGTATAGTGAGTCAATTCTCAAAACAAAATACAAGTATCTTAGATTAAAAACTCGTTATTGACACAGTCACTTTTATTATTTGAAAAATAATGTAAATAATTTGAAAAAGGGGGAAGTAAGAAACCAATCTGATGAGTAATTACAGTAGGATGTGACGACCGTATCTTGCCATTGAGTATGCACCTATAAAAGTATAAAGTATGTGTTAAATTTTAGCTCAATGATAAAACATTGCATATGGAAAACGATTGCCAAATCTCCTCAGTCTACAATACTAAATTATTAGGTACCTATTATAATGATCAAATAAATGTAGGTAATTATGAATTTTTAAAATTAAAATTTCTATTGCCGGGTTGCATGAACAATCACTAAACATTTGATGAATCAACAGAGAACTAATGGTCCTTCAAACAAGATTGGTCCATTAAAGTGTATTGGACCGTTAAATAATTACATTTTTCATGCATCCCGTCCTAGAACTCCTAAACGATGATCAAGCATCAAATTCTGATTTCACTATCATTCTCAACTTCTTCAAATACGTAAAGAAATAAAATGTGTTATAGTCGCTTGGCAGAAAAGTAGATAAGTATAGGTAAATTAATTTGCACAATTTATTTTATATCACCATTGACTCATCAAAATACATATGTAAAAAAAAAATTTTAAAATTACGTGTTAGCCAAAGTGTAATTATACCAATTTTTTCTTCTAGAAAAACTGAAAAATTGTCTGCTAACATAAAAAATGTAAAAAAAAGTGCATAAATTGTGAAATCAATACTATGATTACCTATATAATACTTACTATACCCGCTCAGTCAAAAATGTATCATAATATTAAAACATAATACCCAAAATATCAGTTTTTGTTTTTGTGAGATTATCGTGCAAGCCGACGATATTATCTAATTCTAATAACTCATTATCTTAATATCTGCGAGCGTGATAGACAATACACAGAATAGATAAAATCTATTATTTATTCAATTTTCAATTTTGCGGTCGATATAATAAGTATTCTATAACAACCGACCATCGATAAAATATAATAGGTAACAAAAATATGCAATAATTCATTTGATGCATAAGAAATTAAGAACATAAGAATATAAGAAGCACGAATCAAAAATTTGAATATTAATGTTCCAACTTTATAGTTTTTAACAAACAACAATCACGACGATGATAACAGCGTTTTATTTCATGTTTCACACTATCGAATGACTTAAATTCCGTACAGTCGATAGTGTGTTATTACTTATTACCGCCGCTAATCGAACACATAGTCGTCGCCCGTCGGCTTACGATACTGTTGAATCAACAGTGTTGATACCCGACTTTCAGATTCAACTCAGACATTATTATACATAATATTTATTATAAGTCATCTAATTATTGTGATTCATTCACCGTCGTCCGTCGATACTACAATAAATTTAAGATACATCTACCAATCGGCAATCGGCGATTTCGAATTTACGATAGGTTCTGTTATCGATAGCCGGTTTCCGATATCGCGAATGATAATATTAAGAAAACAAATGATTGCTGTGTTGTTGTTCTTGTGAAAAAACGGTAGTTCAATTTGTCAGTTAACTTTTTTCTAATATGTCGTCTTTAATATCGTTTTCATAGTTCCATACCGTCGCGCGCACAAATGGGAAACATTTTGCGTAACAATCAACCAGACTGTCAGATTTATCGATTTCCCTATTGCATCATAACCGAGTGTCAAACGCTCTCGTTGTAAGTGAGTATTCAATAGCCATCGAGTGGATTCATTTAGATCCCATTCGGTTTTAATGTCTTGGTACCTACTAACATCCTAAAACCCATTAATGCTGTTAAGTTACGCCAGGTCGTTATTTGTATAAATGTTTCCTTAGCGTTGTGATTATTGTGCCACTAACATGAATTTTCAGGTTAATTATTCCTTTCTGTTAGTACATAGTTTTTATCACAAGTCTACAGTTATTCGGAGTTTCAGTTGATGTTACTTTTTTCATATATAATATATAATTTACTTTTAGTGGACGGTAGACTTTTCAAGTATTACAAATAAGTAATAACCTTGTGTAAATTGTAAATTAAGTGAAATTGGTAAGTGTTTTGTCTGTAGCGCCTATAGTACTATATTCACATTCTTTATATTCTTATCTGAACCTTGATAGGTATAGAGTAGTATGATTGTATTGTCATTTGTTGATAGGTACTTGATAGTATTATATACATTAACACTTTAAATATACTAATTTTTTGCCTTTTATATCGTGTGATGAGCAATAAAATTGTAAAATTGATCATTGACTATAAAGTGGCACAGATTTTTTAATGTCTTATTTCGGACAAATGTTAATCATACATTAGTTTGTTTATTATATTTCAGGTGTGATACATTATGTCTACATTAATATAAAACCAATATGGCGATAGTGGTATTTAATCGTTTTCTGGTTGAGGGTCAATACCCTCGCCTCAATATGTTAATAGATATACTAGTATGCCCATACTTCTTATACTAGTGTTCTCACTATCTATTACATTATGAACCCAAACTTTATTTTATTATATTTATCTATGATCATGGAAGTATTTTTTTCCGGTTTAACTGGTAATAAAGCTTAAGCTTAAGCTGATTTTTTTTGGTTAGTTTCAAAGTAAAATTCAGATTATTGCTTACAATTACTGAACAATTTTGGGTACTATGTAATTTAATATTTTTCATAAATTATCATGTCTATACATTTGATAGTTCCCAATAACAATTTGAAAATAAATCATAAAACTATGTATTCGTAAAAAAGTTATGTAACTCGAAATTTGCAACATTAGTCAAATCAAGCCATTAATGATTTATAATTCATGCAAATTAATAATAACATTAATTTAACCAGTAAAGTACCCAATGCCCAATAATTATTGACTGTGTAGATTGTACTGTGTACATTTCATTCTTTGCCCATATATCTATATATTTAGTTTCAGTAAATTGAGTTCAATAATCTCCATCAAGTTACATATAATTGTAATTTCATTGTTATTTTGATAAAATTTATCTATTGATACAAACTCCAATTAAATTTGATTACAATATAATATTGACAAATTACTTTAATATTGATTTAATATATTTTTTAGTTGATAACTCATGACAAATATGGAATTAGGTATTGATGAAATGCTGGATAACTCTCATCACAAAATGTATTCTAGTGAATTAGCTACTCAAGGTATGTATATGATTTACTGACGTTTTAAACTATTATAAATTTAAAAATAATATTTTTATCTAGATAAAATGATAATTAGAATAAAAAAGCAAGAACCAGACGTTGACATCGAAGGTAAAGATTCATCCACGGAAAATGATGAAGTTGTGTAAGTTTCAATGCTATTGATAAAAAAAATACTAAATTTAATAATCTGGGCCTAGATTCTATAAGATTTGATGATTATTATAAAATACAAATAAAAATAGCAGAATAAGCTATAAATTTGATTTTGCATCAATGATTCTAAGTATAAAATTGATTGTTGTGTATTTTAAGAATTTTAAATTAATAGTACTATTTTTAGTTTATGTATCATGAATTATTATTAAAAAACCTACGTACCTATTTAAAGTTTAAAATATTTTACTTCATTAAATATTAACAATCAATGTACTTTTATGAATATAAAAACAAATGTTTAAGATTAAGTATTGAAAAAAAATTTCTAATTGAGTTTTGAGTTGGAATAATTATTTATCATACAGCGTTGTATCAATCAAGTTATATTTTTTCACTGTATCAGTTATGGGTTAAGTGAAACATTTTGAGTGATGCAGGCCTGGGAATTTTGATGTCGTTAAGTAAATAGTGTTGAAAAATAGCTATACAATTGTTTTGGTATAAAGCGAAGATTTCGTTGAACTGATTACGGAACAATTCGTCTGAACTGTACTACCCACTTGTTTGGCCAATATTTATTAAATTTTATAAATAAAATGATAAAATGCTATAAAACCATGTCGATTTAATGACCTAATACCAAAACTGATAAACGTTAAACCGAAAATGAATATATACAATTCTACAACGTAATAATAATAAATGAATATTACATTTGAACTATTTTTGTTTTTTAATAATTTTGAATAATATTGTTTAAAACTTTGAAGATCAATTAAATTGAAAATGATTTATTTATGTTTTTGTAATTTTATAATTTAAAATTTTATAAATAATAATTCATATAAAAATACAATTTGTTTTTGTTGCTATTTTGTATATTTCTAATAAATTTTATTTCATATTTCAAGATTTAATAGGTTGTATTAAAGTTCTTTTGAGTGCTATAAAGTCCAATCCCTATAAATAATAAATCAGAATATCTAAAATAAAATATATATACAAATTATAGGTCGTACACTTGTGAATTTGTTCAAAAAGTTGATGAAACTGAATCAGAGTTGATCGACATATGTGATGAACCAATTGAATCTATTCGTCAAGATGAAAATTTTAGTAAGTTAATTTAAAATATATGTTTTTATTTTATTTAGAGTAAAAATCAGGATAATTTATTATAAGTCTATAACCCAACTCACACATTGTAGTAAAATATAATACGAAATATGAATATAAGATTAATATTATGCATTATAAGCACGCATATAAGATAATTTAAGCAAATAAATAATTGATTTATTAGAAGACTTAATTTTTTTTTCTCACTATTGCAATATTTATAGTACTGGCATAATATTACCAAACCTACCGAGTATAAACTAGAAATTTTTTACAACAGTATATTTATAATTTATTATTGTGAATACTTTAATGATGTATACAATAATTCATTACTGATGTTTTTCTAGAAATATATTTATAGAGTTAAATTATAAAAAAAATATATTCATAGAGAAACAATAATTATAGTCCTGGGCGATTAGTAAGTTTGGTGTCCAAATTGTTTTGAACTGATCGTTAAATCTAGATAATCCGAAACATTTAGTGAATCACTCTTATAGTAAATATTATATCAGGTTTTAAAAAATTTGAATTACATGTAATATTTGTAATATTATTTACTAATGACATTTTTCATGGTTTTTAATGTTTTTAAATTTCATTAGTTTCCAAAAACCTGAAAATGTATGTTTTCTCTATGTGGTACCAATAGTTTAAAGCAATATTGATAGATTATTTGTATGGCATGTAAATATATTTGATTTTCTCTGAATGCTTCTAATTGTTTAGACTTTCTTAGCTCGCTAGACTTAGCTAGACTCTTTTAGAGGCTTTTATGGAGAAATTTCTAATCTCTTAACATTACATTTGATTGTTATGAACTGTTAGGACATGTGAATTTTAAAGTACTTCCATTTAACCAAAAAATAATTTTGTGTACCCTCATATTTTAATTACTCATTCTAACAATATTGTTCATTTAAATGTATTAACATTTATTATAGTCTAAAAATTGTTGTATGAATATAAGAAAAATGTAAATACACTGTCACCCAGGCACGCCCGCAGAGATGTAGCTCACTAGGTGCAAAATATTTTTAATATCAATATAAGATGTGGGGGGCTTTGCCCCCCACACCCCCTAACACTTATTACATGACATATATTATTTATCATCAATAATGGGTATAACAAAATATATTTAAAACAACTCATTTTATTTATTACTTCTTATAAAATATAAAAATTAGATAGAATTTTAGATGTATAACACACACATACACATATATATATATACATAATAAATAATAGTGTACCACAGAATAGATGTCAGATAACGAAATTCATAATAATATTATTAATGACCAAAATAAATGTATTAATAATAGACGCGTGGTTAGATGTGACTGTACACAGTACTAAAATGCGGCAGACGGTGGTATCTCAGAATAGCCAGATGCCAGAATAGCTAATAAGTATTTAATATTTACTGTATTGGGAATAATCATGGGCATAAATTAAAAATTTACAGAGAAGGAATTTTTATATTTTATTATTTATTTGAAAAATCTAAATTATTAAAATTCTCAGGTGGTGCATTTGCACCACCTGGCCCCCCCCCCTCCGGGCGTGCCTGCTGTCACCTGTCCTAAAATAAAAAAATTAAAATGTTGATAATGTGGTATCAACAAATACTAGTTTATTTTCAGATCAAACATTTTCATTTACGTTATATAATATGTTTATTAATTGTACTAATTGAAAATAAAAAACATGACTCAAGTATAATTAATGATTATATTGATTATTAATATATATATATAATTGTTTTTTAGTAATTACTAATTTCAAAATGAATACTGTAACACAAATTACAATGTTTTAAAATATAAAAATTATATTTCAACAATTTATTTTAATAATAGTTTACCCGGCTATAACTAACTCTGATGATGAAGATACCAATGATGTGACATGGCAACCACCATCTAATATTTTAACTCCTGGGGATCGCTTAACACGCAAAAATATTAAGTGCTTGTATCCAAAAGTTGAAAAACCTGAAACAAAGAAAAATAAATGTAAAAATAATAAGAATAACGAAGTAACAATTAAACGTTTGGTATGTAATTCGTAAAATAGTTTCAGTCATTGAATAATTAATTATTTATGACCTTTTACTTTATTTCAATTAGAAAAAGGGTCGTTTACCAAAAGGTAAACAAGTTTTAGAAGATATAAATGTTTCAAAGCCAGCTACTGATTTTACAGACGAAACAACTATTGATGAAACGATAACAAAAAAAAGTTGTGATTCACTGACTCCTAAAGGTAATAAGATTAATAATATTATATGTCTCTATTTTTATCAGAGTAAAATGTAATACTTGCTCCATTCAAAGCAAATACCTTTTAAACAGGAATATATTAAAGTTAAAATGCTAATACTAATAGACTACAGCTTTTACCTATACGTGTTTAACATTTAAAGTTATGAATTTAAATTCTACATTGTACCTTTTTTTTATTTATGTTTGGTCATCATATTGTTAGTTTACAATAATTTGTATATTTCATTATGTTTGCATTTTAGTTGGGAGACCAAGAAAAGGTATGGCTACACCAAAACAACGCCTGGGGCGTATTATAAAAATACACAAAATGATAAAATAACTTCTCAGGAAAAATCAGAATAGAATGCATTTTCATATTTAAGTGCCAAATAGTTTATATTTTTAATAATTAGTACTAACGTATAATGTTCCAACAAAGATATTGTATATAGAAGTGTAAATTAAATTAAAACTACTTAAAAGTATTCTTACTTTTGCTGTCATTTTGTATAAATCAAAAATTGTTATTAAAATGTATATTTTACTCTACACTTTATATCCAAAATAAAAATCACATTAAATGTTTTTTTGTTGAAATGTTCTTTAATCAGTATTCCATTTCATATAGATAACTTTTTATAAAAGACAATATTTATTTATTTTATTAATTCAATTTATATGATAAGTAAATTCAACAAAGCATATGTTTTGACTAAATTTGCTTGTTGTAAATATAAGAGACTAAAATTAACATACTCTGTATTTTATTATGTTTTTAGATGTAACATGTAAGAATTTAAAACAAATAAGTAGTTCATTTATTAATTAAATTATTGTAGCTTACTTATCTTTTTTAATTAAATAAATCCTACAAATTATTATAATAAAAGACATTATGAGTAATAACAAATATTAAGAATATTAAGTAGTCATTGTAGTATCTTTGTAATATTGGCATGATCACTACTGCAATTTTAAATTAATTTTATTGTGCTTACTAATTGATAATAATAATAAATTGAAAATAAAAAATTTATATTTCTAAATAGTTCATCATATTTATTTGAATGTATAAAATATTTTAAAATAAATACTATTTTAAACAACATTTATATTAAGTAAAAACAAACTATAAAGAATCCTTATTGTATTTATAGAATAGCAATTGTCATTAAGTAACATTATTTAGTTACAATTTGTAAAAATATTAATTTTATTGAATATCTACATTTATATTTTTATTATTATATTCATTTTAGAATTTAAACCTATTTTTGTAATTTGTATTTTATTTACACATTCATTTTTTATTCATATTTAGATAAGTACAAAGTTTTATATGGAAAGTTTATTAAATAATCTGTTGAAAGATGTTGATTTCAATCTTGTATTAAAACAACACAAGCTTTATTTAAAAAATGATATTACATAATTTTAAATAATAACCTCGTTTTATATCTAAAAAAAAAGGTATTTAAAGTGTATCTAACGGCTTCTAAACAGCTTAAAGCGTGTATGCTGAGAATATTACTCTGCTATTATTATAAAGTAGTGTAACGCATAATCACAGAAGAATTAGATTATAGTACAATGGAATTCTATTGAATATAACTATATAAGGTAAGCGCTTTAGTGTTTTAAAAGTTATTTATTGATTTCTGTCATCCAACCGCGGGTGTAATACCTTAATATAATGCAATATACAATGTGAACCATGTTAATCAAATTTATACTGGGGTTGAGGCTTAATATTATCTAAAGTTATTAATCATAGTGGCTGTACCCTAATAACTATTTACATAATTCATGGACTACTAAGTACCTACAAGTTATAGTTCAATTTTGTTGGTACCTATATTGAAGTCTAATGGGAAACACTCCTCCAGATGTCTGCCTATGACTTAGATATTTTAGAATGAATATTAAAAGTTTTATACATTTTTAACTTCATACATAACAATATGTGTATCAGGTATCTATAATATTATAATGACAATTTGCAAATTTTCGTTATTCCGGTAAGAAAACATTTTGTGAGTATATATTTTGAAATGTTTTGATTGGTATTTGGTACTACCTACCTATATGATTATAATATGAACCATAGGTGTGCGCACGGGGGCAGCAGAGGCAGCATATGCTGCCCCTGGACTTTATTTGGAGCTACTGGGGCCGGCAAATATTAAATAATGGGCCTCGGTAAAATTATATTTCCACAAATTAATTTTTTTTTTTTGGTCAAGTATAGATATGAATATTTTATGATTATAGAATTTAACAGTATAAAACTAATAGACCTGTCCACTATAGCCATGATTTTTAATCGTAAATATTATTATCATTTATGGTCAACAAATCTAAAAATAAACTGGGTTTTTAACGTTATAGTAATATCGTACACTAATATGCCATGACGATGCTGGCCGGCCCGCCACGGCGCCACAACATTAATGATAGACGATATTAAATAGCGAATAGCGATTAGCAATTACGTAATTGGAGTTGCACTCGCCACTCGCTCATCTTAATATTTTTCGACGTGTGAAGTGCTCATTGCTCAATACCTACATTATTATAAGACTATAATAGTAGTAAGTTGTAACATTACTGTTGTGTCCTGTCCGGTAAACGAAAGGGCGGAACTGAAAAAGCCCGTGAAAAGAAAAGATTGTTGCTTTTGAATGCGAGCGATAAATGTTTAAGTTAAAGGACATGTTTTCAAAAAATTCAAAACTTTCAAATACGCCAAGTACATTGAAATTTGACACCAATGCTGTTGGGCAATCCAATGATAGAATCGATTAGTTTTATCCACTGACTTATTAAAATTATAGGTCAATAGTTGTATTATAAGCATTTAACTCTATCATAGTATAATTAAATATTTTTATTTATTTATATTTTATGGTTTTAGTTTTAAACGAAATAAAAGATCTTGTTACAGTCGAAAAAATCTATTCAAGTTTATCAAATGATATGTTTGGTAAGTTATGAATATAATATTAACAAATTATTAATTAAGTAGGTAAGCTTTATAAAATGGTCTTAAATAGTTAAATTCATACCTAATCAAATTATTGTTAATATTAATAAACTGTTAATTGACTTGTTCCATCTCCTTACATTACGGTATTTAAATAATTTTTCAATCTTAGATGATAAATGTAATGTTGAACCTGATGAAGCCAATGTATTAGTTGATACATCACTGAAAACTATGTCCAATGTAACAAATCTTACTATGGCAGATAAAATTGATTCAAGTGTATCCAATAATAGTATTGGTAAGTTATTAAAATAATAAATAATAACAAATTATTAACTAAGTAAATATTAAAAAATAGTCTTGATCAAATAATTGTTAAATTTAATTTCGAAAATGTGACAACAACACTTACATTCTTAGGTAGTATGTACTATCCTATACTTAACTTTTAAATGTAAAAAGTAAAATAAATTTTTATTTTTTGTTTAGAAATTTAGAAATTACTGTATTTTATTATTTTTAATAGATATAATTGATAAAATTAACGAAAATGGCATTAAATTATTTCATATAACATAATTTATCCTTTTTTTATATTATTTATATTATTATAAACTATTATGCAATAATAACCTGATTATATATTTTAGTACCCGTACATAATAATGATCCGATAAACCAACTTCCAGTCAATCGTCTTGAACTGAGAGATCGAATATAGGATATGGATAGGTTTTTAATGAGTGGGTTTTGGTGTGTTTGTAGGCGGGCATGGAAGATTTTGTAGAAGCGTGTAGCTTCTTCTGTTACGGTTTTAATTGACAGGTCATTATGGTTATGTATAGTGTAATTCGAAATAAAGGGTGGAGCATTAATAATTTTCCTAAGAGTAATATTCTGAAATTTTTGAATTTTGTTGGTATTGGACACTTTTGCTGTGCCCCATAGTTAGAGACCATATGTCCATAGAGGTTTGAGTAATGTTTTATACTTAAGAACTTTAATTCTTAAGCTGGAGTGTTTATTATTTATAGGCAGAGTTCGTAGCCTGCGAAGTCGGGCGTTTTAAGCAATAAGTCTTTTTATTCAGATATGGCTATTCCAAGTGAGGCGCAGAGGCGCTCATCCAAGTTAGATAAGTCCTAGATATCTAACTGATGTGGGAATCAGTATGTTATGTAAATAGACATTATAACAAATGGGGTGGCATAGAGTGAATGTTGTATGTACTGACTTATTGGGATTAGGTTTAATGCGCCAATCGGTGTACCATCCAGAGTTCAGACATAGGTTGAGATGAGTTTGAAGATTTGCTGTTGAATGAACTTCACCCTTTCATAGTTACTTAATAAAATATTTTACATTTATTGACTAGTATATTACTTTTCTAACATTATTCACTAATTTTAATCGCATGTGTCATCTCCGTCTTACACGCTACGACATAGCAAATTTTCGTTCACCAATTTAATAGTGTGCTGAAAGTTTAAATATTAAAATTAATTGACCTATAATAAAATTTAAAAGTAAAATGATTATCTGAAGCCCCGCGACGAGTTTTTTTTGATATTAAAAAAAAAAAACAATAATAAAAAGTAATCAAAAAAATTCGAAAATGTCTATACATATACTATACAGATAGCTCAAAATGAGACGAAACCTTTTGAAAATGTTATCGTGTACCTATAGTAAATGATAAAATGAACAGTTGTTGAAAATTTCAATTATGTACACAGTACACTGTATAGTAATTCGTTTTTTAATGACAAAAAAATATGAAAACCGTTCGATTTGAAATCGTTAATTGGCGGGTGAATATCTAGTATCAACAAAATTTACTTTCAAAATGAAAAAAATGTAACTTCAATGTTTCTTAAAAATTAATTTAATTTCCCTGTAAACTGTTCATTTTTGTTAAGGCTAGGAAAACTTATACAGAATCTTGCATTAAATTTACAAATTTTCGCAAATTTAACGAGTTTAACAACATTTTTACTCCAAACGCTTATAAAAAAATATTGTACATTTACTCTCAACTTTTTTATTACATTTTCACTAACAACAATACTCATGGAAACCTTGAATTAAATTTTAAGTTTTTTAAACTTACCTAAATTCCAATCATACTATACATTTGGTTTAAATTACAACAATAAAGAATTTAAAGGATTGTAAAATAGTTTTACAGATAGAACTGATCGTTTTGGACTTCTTTAATCTGGAAAAACAATTATTTCCATAAATTATTTAGAATAATAATTGGTTTGTTTAAAATTTTAGATTATGTATTTATTTACCCATATATTGTTATAATTAGTTAAATTTATATACAAATCATGCTTATAGCATGAAATATAATTTCATTCATGAACAAACAACGTTCTTGATGAACTAGATGCCATGTCCCAAAAATTTAGAAAAATTGTTAAAATATTACATATTTATAATTTCTTTGATAAACGACAATTAATTTTTTTTCAAATAATAGGTATAGTATAAATAAACATTTAGTTACAATTAAGTATAATTTATTTAAGTCTTATATTTAATGTAGGTAATTATGTAATAATATAATTAAGATAGTATTATATTATAATTGTGTTGTGAACCTATCAATGCGTTTATCTAGCTGCCCCATGGCCCCGTTAAACAATTCTATGATCGACACTATAAATTATAATTTATATTATTTTACTATTTAGTATTTATATAGTCGTGCTCGATGCGAACAAAATATTTCTGTTCGAGAGAGAAGGCGTGAGCTTCGGGACTACGTATTCACTCGCCGCCGTTAGCGTTTACTAACGCAGTAACGCACTGCGCAGTAAGTGTTCACGCAGTAGTAACGCACCGACGCACCGTAATTCGATAGATGCGGTGAAGTTGGGCCGTAATACGCCATGTACGCGTCGCGCGTCGCAGTATGGACGTCAGCGCCCTGTGGCCCGTCCGTTAGCATTGCTGAATGCTGACGAAGCGAGAGAGATGAGAGATCGTTCGCCGAATGCCGACGCCGCCGCGATTTCAGCGCTCTCGTCTCGCGGCGGAGGTTGACACGATGTGATAATAATCATCATCGTCACCGCCGCCTCCACCACTACCACTGCACACGACACACCACCACTCACCAGTTTCCACACACCGCTCGCGCGTAAACGGTATTGTTGTGCGTCTCCTATCGTCCATTTTTTTCTTCCCATTATCTCTACAGTTTTTCCAGTGATTTATCGGATAACAATATTGTAATAATAACTTCTCACTTTGTTCCTATTTTCGTCCGTCGCGTATCGCTGATTGTCGGGCTGCGGGTACGGCACTATCGAGTATCGGTCGTCAATCCGGTAAAACCCACTGGATCGCGATCTATTTCGTTTCTCGTGCTAGTCAGACTGTTTTCCGTCGACATAGTAAATTGCTCTGTTCGTGAGAATACGTCGTTTTTCACGTCCGTGTTACACTTTGCAGTATTGTGTCGTGAACGACCGTCTGTTTTTTCTCTGGCCCGATCCATAACGTACCAGATTTGCTGAACGGCCAAAACATGACTTCCAACGACGATCTGATGCAAAAGACTATGTTGATCATCGAACACAAAATTAGAAATTTGGAAAAACGCAAGGTAACTTGGACGGACGTTGTTTTGTCGCTGTAATTTACCATTTTCCTTTACTATGACGAACGTTTGATTTTTATAGTTTTTGTCTACCTATTGACCATAATATTAATTTAATTTCTCATAGCCAGTTATGGGTACTTGGTAATATGATTCAGCACACTGTAGAGTTTTCTTATATTGTATTGCTGTTTACATTGAAGTCTCATTAAGGTTTTTATATTTAGATTTGTTATTAAGTAAGTGAGTGAGTGACCATACTTTTTAATTTGGGACAAAACCTCCAGCAATGGAAAATCAAAACATGTACCTACCTACTACCTACTTATTTTATTATAGAAATTATTTTTTGTGTTTTATCAAAGATCTTTTAAGCATTTTGTTCAGATAGTATTCAAATTTTTATAGTTTTTAGTTAGCTTTTAATTTTATAAAATAAATGCCTAATTGAAAAATGTACGGATAGCATTTTATTAAAATTAAAAAATATTACGTTACAGATAGTATTGTTTTCTAAAATGTTAATAATTGGCATAGACTAAAAATTCAGAATAGTACATGATGTTTACAGTTCACAAGTATTATTAAGGAATCTCATGAATAAATCATTATATTTAGGCAATCCTGAGGACAATCCTATGATGTAAAATTTAATTCATTATGCATGGTAAACACTTTGTAAGCTAGCACAAACTAGACCTTAAAGTAAGGTACCTTTGGACTTAAGTTATATTATATTCTCAATAATAGCTACTTAGGTAGGTACATGAAATATATTGTATATAAAAAATACCAAACTTTATCCATAACACATTAACCTTCTTGATTCAATCAGATGCCCATGTAATAGTCGGTAATTTGGTATCCTTGTAATTCTTGCTGTCTATTGCATGTTTTTATGGTTAATACAAATATCAATAAATACATAAATGTAGAAATAATAATTTATTTTTATGCATTTATTTCTATCTAGTAAAACATCATTCACAATTATTTAAATCACATCTTGTAATCTAATTCTTAATACAATAATTTATTTTTTACATTATTAACACTGTAAATACCAGTGTTTGAAAAGAACGTCATTCATGAACACATATTCACATTTATATTTAATGAAGGATACGCAAACGTCACTCGTTATTTTCAAATTTAACGTGAATAACATTTATATTTGAATGAACGATTTTTAATATGCTTAATTTATTTGCCATTTAATAAATATATGTTTAAAATATATTGTTTAATTATATTATATAATAATATTTTCTTATTATGATTCCAAGGATAATTCCTATTATAAAAAAATTTTAAAAACTCAAACAAACGACCTAGCGAACGTTCCAAACACTGGTAGGTACTTATATATACAATATTATAATTATATATTAAAATAACTATCAAACAATATTTGTTATGTAGATAGCCGTTACATTATAATTTGACGTCTCCCAATACATTATAGGTACTTCTATACACAATTTAAGCTTATTATTAATAATTATTAATAACTTAAAATGCATTGGCATTATACAATTTGGTCTAAATAATTAAATAAATACTTTGTGTGTATTGTTCCTACAAGACTACAAACAAATATAGCTGGACAATTTGTATAATATACAAAGTGCAGTAACCGTGCTATTCATCAAGCATGCCATTTATGTGTGTTTTTTTTAAAAGTAGTCATGAGGAGCATTGACATGTAGATCGTATATTTTCACCATCTATGTTTTTTATAAGGTTCTATCTTATAGAACAATATATTTATTGCTTACACTTATTTATGTTGTATTTATAAGTGATCTCTAAAAATATGGTGATAAAAATGAGGTGTAAATATATATCATTGCTCTCGCATTTGTATACATTTTTTCAATTTTCTTTTCCTAATCTGTTCTCTGAGAACTCTGTGTAAGTATTAATTTGTTCTTCAAAGTGTCAATAATGCATTTATAAAAAATCTGGTTTTCAAAAATTTAAATTACCTATACTCGAAGACCATATTTTTATACTATTTCAGAAGTATCTTGTGGTGATTAGTGATGTAAACATTTTTATTTCAAATAAGAACTATGAACCCTTTTTTACTGTTCATTGTTAAGCTTTTACTGTTTACCTATCAGATATTTTTGAAAATATTGACTTATCTAAATCAAAATTCTTATTTCAAATTAGTAGGTAGACCACTATTCCTGGTGGCCAGTCCACAGCTTGGTCACCTAATATTACTTATTAGTTAATAGTTAGGTATTAGTATTACCTTGTTTTCTAATACATATTATAAACTATATAAAGTTATATAACAAGTAATTGTAATTTATATTAGACTACTGAATTAAAAATGTTTTTTTTTTTTAAATTGTATTTAGCTTAAATTAGAAGGATACCTTCAACAACAAGAAGAAGGAGTGCAATTGAGTGACGATCAATTACTAGCTGCATCAAAATTTAATGAAGTAGTTAGTACTTTAGATTTTGCAAGGAATCTGAAAGACCAGTTAAATACTCTTTTAGTAACAGCAAAACAAATCAGAAATAGTACAAATGGTGAAAAGCTTCCCACCAAAGTTGATAGTAAAATCAAGCAGGTTTTAAATTTCCAGGTAATTTCTTGAAGTAAAATAAATAATTGAAAGTAAAAAATTATGGTTTAATTAGCTAGTATATAGGTTTTAGTCATTTAGATACATTGTTGAATATGCAAAAAAAATGCTTTTTTAAATTAATAATTTAACGTTAACAAATTGAAATATTTTTACTATTTTTTTTATGTATATTTATTCAATTGGGATATATATGTACTATTAGAATATCAAATTTTTTTGGTACAGCATCTTTAAAAATACATTGTTATAGATGTAGGTCCTAAATTTACCTATTGTACTTTATAACACTTAATAATATATATATAAATTTTAATGACAAAGTTTTTAGGAAAGTAAATTATATCATTTATTATTTTATCCTGATATTTCAATTCTAAGTCTAAACACATGTATAAATCTATTACATATAATTATTTCAATATTAGTCCTGTTTTGATATTAACATATAGTTAACGCCAGTGTTCATATTCAATTTCATCTTGAGCCTCTTCAGGGATGCCATTAGTCTATAATTCACTGGTCAGTACTACAAAAGTTTTTGTTTGCTTCAACTAATCATGTTGTTTGATTTAATATAATTTATAACTTGTGATTGATTGTTTTCTAACTTAGGTAAATGCATTTATTTGATTTATGAGTGATTCTCCTTTGTCTTGTTATATTAATTTGAATATTCATATGTAACATTTATGTATAAACTATACATTTTGTCTAATATTTAAAACAGATTCACAACATTGCAACAATAAATTATGGATAAATAATTAAATTTTTATGAAATTGTAGTTTTTTTAATCTAACACCTATTGGAACTGAAATTTAAAAATTATAATTTTATAATAGACTAAAAAACAATTTTGTAGCTTTCATTTGGTTTATTAATATATTTTACTAACATTTCAGCATTCTCTACGAGTTCATATTTAAATAACGTCATGAAAAATTCTGATATTCCTTAACAGAACATTATGTTGTAGATATTTTTAAAAACCAATATTTAAATAATTTATATTAACATAAATATATATTATTTATCTTTGTTTGTAGAATATACTCGAGAGTATTAAAGATGAAACTGTGAAACAAGATTTATTAGCTGGTAATAATGGTGCCGTACAATTGACTGATGATGAGCTCTCAAAATTGTCACATTTTTCTAAAATGGTTTCACCAAAACGAAGAGTAGAAGAAGGAAAACCACTGTTTGAGGTAACTAAAAATATGAAAACAACCTCACAAACCCGTGACGTAAACAAGGGGGTGTTTGGAAAATATTTATAATAATTAATTATTTTGGAACTAAAAATATTTTTTTAAGTGTTATTTTTCCCAAACATGTATAGATTTGAATGTCTCGATTGGCTAATTGTTTTTATTACATAATTTTTTTTTATAACCTTAGCTATACTTTAATTTATATATAGTCATATTATAATATATTGACACCCCTTTGAAATACCACTAGATACACCTATCATATTGCTCTTTTGAAGAGATAAGGAGTAGGGACATGGCCTACATGGCTCAAATTCATGATTTTGATGTTTATCAGAATCAACTGACGTTCCATATCATATTTGACAATTATTGATACTATAAAAATATGATTTTTATTTTAGAGTTTGATTTTTTTGAATAATATTAATATTTTATAATAATAATTATTAATATTAACTAAAGTATGAAATTCATTATTGTGTGAGACGTAACAAGTACGAAATATTAAATGTAAAAACTAACCTTACTATGTACAATGAGAATAGTGGTGTGGGTAAAAAAAGTTTCTGTGGGAGAGGGGGACTCATAAATATTAGAAAATTTATACTTCTGGATTATCAATAATTTCATATTTCTTTAAACTTTAAAATTACAGTACTATTGTACCATTATTTATGTTTTTTTAATCTCAACTTTTATATAATATTGGTTCTAAGGGGGGAGAGGGTGAGTAAACCCGCAGCTGTGTCACTGAAAGAGAAGTACGGTGATTCTATAAATCCCCACTCAATATCTACTCTGCCATCGAGACCAATTCCACTAAGGTAGTATGAGCTGAAGTACCGATTTTTATTGAGCCTAGAGCAGCCTGTTCTTTGGCTGGACAGAGTATAAGCACATTATGTATAACAATACACAAACCTTCAGAGGCCAATTATCGGGCAGAATATAATTTGTATATTCTTCTGTGCTAAAATTAATTAATGATTACTTATTTAAATCATTAGTCTATTGCATGTAATACAAACCATACCCTAAATAAAAGAAATATTCTCATTTATAAAATATAGATATATAATTTTAAAAAATGGTTATATATTATTTACCTTCATTTTGGATTTTTTTTAAACTGGAAAAGATGTAATAACATACAAATTTATACAAATAGATAGACATGCGACAATATTTAAAACTCCATATTTATTAATGTTTATATGTATAATCCAATTACTTTTTTACTTGTGAAAATATATTAATGTTCATTTAATTTTTAAATTCTTGTTTATATTTTAAATTACAGGATCAACTCAAGACTGTTTCCAAGCACTACATGAAGCTTATAGATAGTAGACCTAATATTGTAGCTGGTACAAGTTATGCACATTTAAAAGAATGTTTGTTAAAAATTGAAAAAAGTGGTTATCTGAACAATATAGTAAAACTTAAACATGTTGATAAAGAAGTTAGTACAATACATATTATAACCGTCCAAATGATATGTATAATTATTACACTATATGTATTACATTTAAGGTAAATACAACTAATGAAGATAATAGTTTAGAAACCAAAATACCTCAAAATATTCACCAATCAATAGTTTCCATAAGTGATGATTCGCCAGATAACATTCCCAGTAATTTACTAATAAATGGTATTTTAAATTCTTTTAACCATCATTACTTATTTAGTTTCTAGCATTCCTAATTTGGAATTCAGTCCAAATAAAATCGAAACAATCTATTTTACAAATAACAATATTGGTGGAAATACAGTTGAACAAAACCCACAAAGAAGCAAAAACACTACAGATACCGTATTCAATACCTCATTTGATTTTTTACAAGTATTTACATATGTGTATTATTTATTTAACTATTAAAATTTTGAAACTAAATAAAAATTCTTAATAATAATTGTTTTACATTTTTTTTCAGGATTCTCAACTTGAAGAAGATATTATAAGCATTGATTTAAATTCCATACCAACTCAGACATTTTCATCTTCTATTTGCGGTAATCATGGACCAACAGATGATGCAATTTTAAAAATACTGTCTACCCCTCCGCAACACCGGACTTTGGTACCTATTCCACAAAACATTTTTTTACTCCATAAAAATCAAGTTAATGACAATTTTTATTTATTTAGGAAACAAAACATAATCATTTAGAAAATGTTGTGGATGTCAATGTTTCTAACTCTAATTCCTGGACTGGAAAAACTGATGTAAACTGGCAAAGTAGAACTGAATCGGGAGATAGTAATAATTTACCCAGAGAAAACTGGTCAATGGCTCAAATGATAAATAACAGCACAAATAATGATTGGATTATAAAAAACAATTGGGTTCAAATGGCTGAAGTAGATAAACAAAACCAATCACCAGCACAACCAACTCAACCATCGCCCAAAAATTCCTCTTCTAATTTCGGTTTAGTTACTAATGGTATTTAAAATGATTATTTATCAACTATAATGTTTTAATGTACTAAGTAAAGATAGGATATAGGTGTTACCTATAATTTTAATTTATTTTGGTTTAGTACTTATAGCTTAGTAATATTTATTAGTAAAAGGTAAAAATATTACAAAAAAACAAAGTTAATTAAGTATAACACAAGATTATCTTAGAGTATTACTTAATTCTTGATAGAACATACTAATTTTATAATTTTAATCTCAATAAAATGTTTAAATTTGTTTATAAACATGCAATATGCGACTGTCTAACCTTCAGGTAATGTAGAATTCCAATTCAAGAAGTCCACCTAATCTTACCCAAAAGGTATAAACATAACAAAGTTGATTTAAAACTAATTATCAATTTAGGATATACAGACAATCTCGATGAGTTATTGCAAAAATCAGTGGTTTTCAATAAACAAGAATCATACCCTGTAACTACTTCCTCTAATAATTCAACATATTATCAAACCAATTACGGGCAGCAAACGCTTGAACGTAATATTGGGCATTATACTAATTCTAATGGTAGTAATCCTAGGAGCCACTCCAATGATTTTAATAAAAGATCTACTTCCATGAAATCTAAATCTTCATATTCAGGAGAAGGTTGGTTATGCATATTATATTTGATAATGAACAATATTTATCATTGTCTATGTTTACAGGAGGACAATCTCGAGGTTATCAACAAGGCAACTCTTATGTTTATAATAGTCGCTCTTATAAGACCAATAGCAGTACCAACACGAGTAACGATTATTCCAGAATCTCACGACAAACCTGATGAAAATCAGAGTTCACATAATTTAATACCTTATTTAATATTCTACTATGAAAATTGAACAGTATGCATTTCATTTATTAAATATGAACTTATTAGATAATGCTAGAGAGCCTGTGCTCTCTAGGTAATACCAAATACTATTATATTCTCTTAATTTAATTGTTCATATTTTTTTCTTTCTTTATTACGTATTTGAATTGATTGAACTCAAAATATGCACTTACATCAGTCTATATAATTTTTTTTTCAAACTGTGACTAAACTTTGAAAAATAGCTATTATTTAAAACTTTATGAAATAGATGAGTATTTAATGTCATTACAATTTTTCTGAAAAAATTAAATTTTTATATGAATGTTATTACAGTATTTGTTTCTAAAATTAATAAATTACCAAGTCAGGGGATATTTTTGGCATTTTTTGTTCTTGGTGGTGGTATTCTATACAATATATTACACTGATTATTATTATTTCATTATGTTCTCTCTGCAAGTTCAACATTATTATTTTTATTTTATTAGAATAATTAAAATTATAATGCAACTTAAGTTTCAAGAATATGTAACTATGTAACTATGCATATTGTGTATTTGAATAACATTAAATACTTGCAAATTCCTTTATAGAAGATTCCTTTTATTATTTTATATATTATATTTATAGTTAGTCTTACATTTGTAGATTTAATTGAAACTGAATGTATGTATGGAAATTATATTATAAATTTATAGTGTATTTTTTTATTCATTTAATTTTATATGTATAATGTAATAAATAGAAAATGCATTTCATGTTCGAATTTAAACCAGAGCTTTAAAATTGGTATGCTATGGAACCAATAATAATAATTACTGATGAAAAACAAGTTGAAATTATATTGTATGTTGTAACAAATAATGATTATCATTATTATTAACTATCAGTTTATCAAGTAAATCCTATGTTTCATAGATATTATTTGATTCATTTGGTAACATGTATAAAATGTTTTCTTTATTTTACAATATTAAATTTTTTATTTATGCAATTTTATGTTTGTTATATTTTCAAAATAATAGAAATAGTTAAGAAGAAATTATTAAGAATATTTGGTGTGAAAATGTTAAAGAATTTATGGTTTTCTTATAATTTCAAATAATAAATAAACTCTACATTTCAAACTTTGATTCAAGTAGATATTTTTAATTAGTTTAAATATAAACATTAAATGGGCAATTTAATACATATTATGTATGTATTAAATAGAATTGGTTGACTTATTATTTGTGCTCTTGCATTTTAAACTGTTGTAATATGCTAAATTGATATTACTATACATTATTGTTCTAAGTAATGCATCTTTTGTTGTCATAGTGATACAGTTACCTATAATTTTAACCAATATTCTAGATTACAATGGTTATGATAATATTATAATAATATATTATTAATATGACACACAAATATAAAAAGATGGAAAATAATACCATAATAATGGCCTTAACCATATTTTACACAAAAAAATTTTTTCATGTATGCACATATTCCACAGGAACAAATTGAATCTAATAAATCTCGCTTAATCGCTTTGATATTAAATTGGAATTTTGAACAATATATTATCATGTTTTGGCATTTGACGATACTTTGTTGGTAAATTGTAGTTTTTTTTAAAATTATTTATGTGATACACGAATTAAAGAAAATAAGTCGTACTGATAAAAATCAAAAAGAAAAATTCTTAAAATACAATGTGAAGATAAAACCATTTCTGATCACGAAAAAGGTTTTGCACTTATGTTTTAACAGAGTCGCAAAGTTATATTGTTATACAAATTTTACATATTATGATTTATGCCTCATAGTGATTTAACCATACAAAATTAAACAGTACCACATGCTTATAAGTTATAAATATGTGTTTGAAGTTTAAAATAATAATATGTAGGTAGCCTGCAGCTATGCAAATTGAGGTATTTCTATCAAAAAAAAAACATATCCAAAAACCTTTTTTCGTGTCAATGGGTGTGGGGTGGTAGAAGATTTTTTTTAAGTAGGTTTTACGTCGGTGCGGTTGTAACATGTGTTTGTGTATGTATGTCGAGGATATGTTGCAAAAACCTGGGTGGTCACCTATCTGGAAGCATGCGACCGCTACTTACCAAAATCCACTATTTACAATTCATAGTTCATACTAGCACACATCATTAGCATATTATCATGTAATATTTCAAATAAATTGAACTTTCTTATTAAATCTAATGGCAATCGACAACTAGGATTCAGAATAACGTTCTTTTATTTACAATTTTGCTAATTTGTTTCCATAAATTAATAACGATGGGATGAAATAAAGTAAAATGAAATTGCTTTATTTAAGTTTTTACTAAGTACCTATTATAATAATTACTGCAAATTAAATAAAACAAACATCGATTCGAGATAAAGTAAGATTTTATTAAAAGTATCTAGGAAGGTGTATCTACCTAAAATGTCTAAGTACCTGCATAAAATATTCAAACTTAATCAAACATTTGAAGGTAGGTAACTACTACTTGTAGTTTTACTAGGTACGTAAATTATTATTATTACTTATTTTACGTAAATTCGTTAGAAAATAACGCTGACAGCCAGTTCGGCATTTGATATTTAATTTATGAATTCTACCAGAAATGTTGAACTATTGACGATTAGTGTTTCAATATCAAGTTGTTCACGCCGGAACAGACATTTTGAGTTAGGTACCTATCATAGTATCATGCATTTAAACATTAAATAGGTATTTATACTTTCTAGTAAAAATTGAATGACCTTTTTTGAATTAAGTACTTACCTATAGGCTATAACTTATAAGCTACTAGTCCTAAATTCGATTTGTATGTATCGAAATACTTAGAAAAATATTCTGCTTTGGCATATGATATTAAAATTGTATGTTGTAATTAAAAAAAAATTAAAAACTTAAAAAATGTTTGATATAAAAAAAATATATATTTTTAATAATGTTGTTTTAAACGACTATAAATTATGGGGAGCATACTACTTGCGTCCGAAATTATTATCAGTAGCCAGTAGGTGAGTAGCGTCCCGCAAAAAAAAAAAGATTCAAAAAGGTCATAGCGTATTTGCGTCCCGAAAATATTGATATAATCGATATAAAAATGTACATTTGTTTGTTCTTTTATCATGGTTGCTAGTTCGAGAGTCTGCCGTCCGAAAGACTCAATTATGTATACAAATTTCATATGCTTGACAAGGCGGAGGACGGGGATAGATTGTATAGATGTTATTCAGTACATTGAGACTAGACTCATTCAAAGTTTTTGCCGTTCGCATTGCGGTCGTCACGTATTTTTCTGTAAACACGAAAACTGCAGCGTGTCGTGCGTCCGTATTAGACTATTAAATTTAGCTATTTGACATTGTATAGCAGCGTGTAGTAATTAAATTAAGTTTTTTTTATATTATTTGTATTCATTTTTTTTTTTTATTAAATTTTCAGTCTCCCCAATGAATAATTTACTTGCGAGCCGCCACTGAAAATAATGACTTAAAATGTAAACAATACGTTTGTCGACTCTAGCTGTATGTGCCAGTGTACGATGAGGTATATAATATTGAATCAGTGTAACATATTTCATTCATAAAATGTAAAAATAATAATTAAAAGAACAACGATGTCATTTAAATTTCTCACATTGTACGATAAAATGATATAAAATACCTCGAAAAATACAATCGGGAATATTGTACTAACGTGGGACGATTATTTATTATGACAAAGAGAGAGCGCTAATGGTACATGATCGTCACCGTCGACAATACACTCGATGCTCTTGTGGCTAGTGGCTATAGTTATTACTTTTTAGTTAGGAATATTACATAATTTAGATTTTAGACAGTAATCGATAAATTATGTATATTTTATAGTAGATATTAATAAATAACTGTAGTTCAAAACATATCTTTGTATTTTACTTTTTCATAATAATAATAAAACACAAATTAAAATGTGAAATTATAACATAAGTGCTTAAAACAAATAATATATAATAGTAATAATAATTTATCATTATTAGTAAACATTATACTCAAACATGAATTACTTTTTATTTTTTGAAATAAGTTTGTGACAATTTTTAAATTTTTTTTTAGTTTTTGTAAAGTGTATTCTAATTTTTCAACCTTTTCCAAATCTAAACAATTGAACTCTTCAACAAAAATAATAAAATGATTATTACCTATTATAAGACTGGCAATAAATATATTCCCCATATTAAATTTTAATCTACACAATTATATCTATACTTCGTTATGTGTTAGACGTGACAATTAACACATGTTTTTATTATATCTACAGAGACCAACATTAATCATTTTGTAGAAAATACTTTTTAAAAGTATTTGAGAACAAATAATGAAAACAATTAATTAAACAGTGAAGTAGTTACATTAAAATAATAATTTCTTTTAGTTATAAATACACTGATTTATGACAAACTTTTATTATTTTACTGTAGGTAAAACCTATCTTACAATAATCAACTTAACAAAAGATGGTCGTTATTTACATAAAAAGTAATCATAGCTATAGCCAGGCCAGCACTAAATACGACATTGATTATACATGCAACAGGACTGGGGACACAATATAATAATTAATAATAAACAATCTGAACCAAACAGTGAACGATATAATTTTTTTATGTAAGTTAATTCATCACTTAATTTTGTTGAATCATGTATTTCATTGTCCACTGTAAATAAAATTATCGCTTTGAACTACGTCCAAAAGATCCAAATTTTTTTAAACATAGGCATTGTACTGCGTTTCGTTGAAGTTTTTTAAAATGTAGTTTCTTTAATCTTTAATGATGGGCTTGGAAATTGTATTTATTTTTACATAATTGCTATACTATATTGTTTCGTTCATAGTCTTGTAAAAATTAATATTTGTTTGTCACTCGTTAACTAGGATGTTCACCTATTTCAACTGTCAAGGTCGTTTTTACATGATAATAGGTATATGAATATATGATTCCGGCGAACAGCGGGCTTTTTTTTTGGTTGAACACGATAATTCGACCCATGTAAGGCCAACCGATGGTGAAGGTAAATAATATTGTGTCTGCAGTCGCCTCTATTGGAATTTCGGATTCCGGAATTCTACTCTACGATCCGGCGCTTATACACAATTCAGGTATAACTTTTTTATTGTTTTCGTTTTGGAATACAAATAACGATGTGGTACACGGGCTAAAGAGAGATATATGATACTGCAACAAAAATAAATACACATCGATTGATTCGAAAATTAGTCGAAATGAGAATTACCTATTTCACGGTATCAAAAATAAACACTTATTATCGACAACAATCTATTGTTTGGACTTTTTTCCGATCATGGCACCCCACAATCGGAGAACAACAAGCGGCGGAC